CGATTCTATGATTCTATGCTTCTATGATTCTTCTGAAAAGCAGGGAAGCTGTAATTGAATAGTACAGGAAAAGGTGTGCTTCACGTGGGATATAATTAATATAAAAGAAAACATTTATTATTTTTTAACGGTGAGTCATCTCACTAATGCTTTGGCGTCATACCTGAATTTTAAAGTGAGGAACACTAAAAATAGTTTCATATTAGGGAAAAGAAAGGAACAGCATGTGCTCCACTACGTTGTCTCCTGCCTAAATGGAATATTTTAAAACACCAGAAAACAGCCTTGCTTGAATCCCCTGTTGGTTACGCACCTCTCTGTAGTGAATGCTGATTTTCTTTGGAAGAGTTTTACCCATTGGACCCTTTGGCCTGGTGGGTGTAAGAGATCTGCAGGAGTGACTGTATCAATAGATGTCTGTGAAGTTTGAATTTCCCACCTGAGCAAGTAATATACTTGTGTAGGAATATGGGCTTCCCGTTAGGGAAAACAGCAGCAAGTCTTCAGCTCTGAATTTCCGGGGGGTTTGTGACTTTATTGGATTGCTATATTGTGTTTTCCGTGAACCTGCGAATGTTTTATGAAGGCAATGGTCTAAGAAAAAAAAAAAAAAACAGGTATGAAATTTAAATAAAATTCGTCGGTCTTTAATAGAGGAGGAGTTTCAAGTTTTTAAATGCCTTTCAATAGTTTGCTTTACACAACAGCACTGTTCTTAATTGTGAAAACACGAATAGTGCCCTATGAATAATGTTATAACCAGTTGTTCAAAGAGGAATAAAAAATATTAAATAACAAAACTCACCTGAGATGCTTCGGCTTCTGTCTTTTATGCATTCAGGCTTTACAAGTGACCAGCCACATGAGACTGTGTTTGATTTAAGGAGCTGCAGGCGTTCCGACAGCGGGCCGATTCCCTTGATTTCCTCTTTATTTGCCAACGTTCTTCAAGGGAAGTTCCTAAAGCACTATCCTACTGGTGCACGTAAAAAAAAAAAGCCATGTTCCTGGAATATGTTTTATTTGACACCATAAATGGGCTGCGTGGATCTTCCTGTCCTGTTGCAGTTTTCAGTTATTCACTGTGGTAAACTGAAAGTGTTCTGCTATTCTGGGAACGCGTGTTGTGCTCGCTGGTAACATCTTCCCGTTTCTTTGTGTTTCAACAGGGGAAAGTCTTCCAGAACTATCACTTTCGAGCAGTTTAAGGAAGCTCTGCAAGAACTCTCCAAGAAGCGGTTTAAAGATAAGAGCGATGAGGAAGCAGTTCAAGAAATATATAAACTAATTGAAGGAAAAGCCCCAATTATATCTGGAGTAACGGTATGTTACCGACGGAATGGATGGGTTGTTCTAGCTGTCCTTTGCTCTGCTGCAGTGAACATAGAAATCAGAGAATCACAGAATGGTTTGGGTTGGAAGGGACCTCAAAGACCATCTCGTTCCAGCCCCCCTGCCATGGGCAGGGACACCCTCCACTACACCAGGTTGCCCAAAGCCTCATCCAACCTGGCCTGAACACTTCCAGGGATGGGGCAGCCACAGCTTCTCTGGGCAACCTGTTCAGTGTTTCACTGGAACATGAGATTTTGGGTTTTTTGTTTTGGTTTGGTTTTTACCTTGATGTGGTCAACCACTGGAACAAGTCGCCCAGAGAAGCTGTGGAACCTCCATCTTTGGAGATGTTCAAGACTTGACTGGAGAAGTTTCTGTGCAAGTTCATTTGAGCCTTGGTGTGAGCAGGGGTTTATGCTGGATAAGGAGTTGTGTGCAAAGGTTCCTTCCAACAAAAATTGTTCTGTGAGTTTATGATTTTAACTTTGGATAATCTCCAAGGATAGAGAGTCCCCAGTCTCTCTAGGTAAGCCGTTTCTGTGCTTGACCGGCCACAGTGGTGAAGAATATTTTCTCATGTATCTAGTTGGAATTTCCTGTCTTCCAAATAATGTCAATTTTTTTTTGGAGGGAGCACTATGTACTTCTGAACTGGCTCTATTTCTAATATAACCTCTCTTTTGAAGACTGGAATAAGATTTGCCTCCCCTCTTCTGTCATCTTCTTGTATGCCACACGCTCCAAGCTCCTCGCTGCCTTAGCAGCACTTCTCTGTAAACATTGACATGAGGTGAGAAAAATACTGAATTGCTAACAAAAAAACGCATGATGACTTCAAATTAGAGACCGTGGCCTGTTCTGATTTTCTCAGTGAGGTTTTGATGCAAGAGGAGTTTCAGTTGAAAAGCTGGAGGCATATATACCTTTCTTGACTCATCTGAGGTGTTTCCATGAAGTTGGAGGTCTTGTGACCTCATTTCTGGTTGGAAACTGACAGTGAAGGAGCAACAGCCATTTAAAAAATACTATCATATTTAAAAAATTTATAATATTTATTTTATTTATAATATTTAAAAATATTTTAATATTTTAAAATATTATATGGGAGTTGGAACTAGATGATCTTTAAGGTCCCTTCCAACCCTAACCATTCTATGATTCTATGATTTTTTTTAAGATTAAAGGGAGCACAACGGTCCAGCAAAATATCAGCAAAAATACAAGCTTGGAGAATGAACATGTCTTTTGTCAGTGATTACTTCTCTTTGATAGAGGCAAAGACACTGAAATTGTAGCTGCTGGCTTGTGTTGATGGAAATAACTGAGTGAAGGGAAAAACGGTCAGTCTTGGAGAACAGAACTCTTGATGTTTTTGGAAAGTACCTTTGGTTGATTCATTTGGTATTCCAAAATGAGTTTATACAGTGATTAGATTTAATTCTGTTGTGCTAAGTAAAATTTTTCTCTTAAAGAGAAAGGTTTTTTTTAAAAAATAAAAATAAAAATTTGAAGTTCATGTGCATCTTCTGTGATATGCAAACTTTCTGGTTAACTGTACGTGCAAATAAGAGAAGGAAAATGGATGCTCCTGTGGGCTCACAGAAAGGGAAGGAGCTTGGCTCCAAGTAATTTCTTGCCTTTAGAAAAATGTAACTAGAGAGATTATATAACTTACTCCAGATAGTAAACAGTTCAAGCAGAATTGCTATATGACAAGACAGAATCATTTGTCCCTGATTCCTGGGGAAAAAGAAGGAAGAGTGTTGACTTGCTAAGGTGGAACTTGTCCTCATCCAGCCTCTTGTGCTATTCACTATCGCACTTTTATATTCGCTATTCACATTTCCTCCTACATTTTTCCTCACTGATGAGGGATTTGCTAACGGAAAAGACAGTCAAGGAGAGTGTCTGAGACACCTCCCTGCATGTGAGAGTGCGGCGTGTATGCACGCTGAGACAACTGATTTTCCATAAACAGTGGTGATGAAATACAAGGGAAGTAAATATGTGTTAAGTTTAATTAACTTTATACTGAATATTGCCCCTGTCTCTTGCATTTGGAATATTTCCATCTTTACAGCACAAATAGCTTTTGTCACTGGGAGCATCCTATGGCTTTTAGCAATAGTGCTGTATAAGTGAACACGGAGTAAATTTAGTCCTTTGATTATATTGATAAGCTTTCTTGCATCTTCTATGGCAGCTTCTGCTGGTGTTAGGGACAATGACAGATCCTTTGGCAAGTGTCGTGCCCCAGCTTTTTCCTTGCTGGCTTCCATGGGGAGAGTCACAGGTGGCATCTTCCTTTTCTGAGTAAGTTTGTTAAGAACACACAAGAAGTGTGCCCGTAGTTAAGAAAGTGCCTTTAGTAAGAAGCATCTTATGTTCTTTTGGAGGGAGAATGGTCTAGTAATGACTTTAAAAAGTAACTTTAAAAAGTGAAGGAAACTTCCTCACGTGTATTCCGTCCTGCAGTCGGCCTTTAGTAGTGTGTTCCTGCCGCCGTTACGGCCCGCAGGGCTTTTCAAGTGAGAATGAAGTGGGGAGCCCATGTGTTGCCACAGGTTAGGTGGGGGGCACATACTGCCCACTACTTTGGGTGCTTCATGGTTCGGAATGGTGGTTGGTGGGTGGAAGACTTTGTGCAGTCGAGCGGTCTGACGGTTCGTCCTCAGGTAGGGACTGGGTTCTTACTCATGACCACTGCATAACAGGAAACATTATACTTACAGAAAAGCTTATTCCTGCTTGTTTGTGCCAGGATTTGTGTTCAAGGTACAAGCCCTTTCCAAAGAAAACAGCAATTCACAAGTAGGACTTACAATGGCACAGCATTCCTGGTGCCTGTGCCCAGGGTGAAGCTCACAGGTTATGTGCTCTTGCAGAAGCGTGTGGCTTTGTTTTCCCAGAGTTTTCAGGGGAATTTCCAGTGACCAGACAATCCTTTGGTTCTGTGGCGTGACTGTGTGTACAACCTGTTTGATTTACTAATGCCCTGAGGAACAGAAAGAATAAATTCTCAGCTGAGCACCAGACTGGGCGTTTTTACTTTCGATGTCTCAGCTGATACGTTTTTCTTGCATTTTCATTTTATCTAGCTGGGCTGCTAACACAATTACTGATCACAGGGGGTGGGTTTTTTTCAAAAAAAGCTGTGAACGCAGGTTTCCTGGTTATAAGGTGCTAGGAGGCCAATACGGACAAGAAAACTGTATGTGTTAAGAAGCACTACTTTTTCCTAAGCATCGTCTTCATTGCTGGTTTTCAATCTAGAAGAATAACCACTTCTGCAAAAGGTACTCTGAGACTGCAAAGTCGAAGTCCCTAAAGGTCATTCAGCAATGCTGTTTTTAGAAACAGATGTTCCAGTGGTCATTGTCTTTCAGAGAGTGCCAGAACTCACACCTCCACACCACCTTTCAGGGCCTCATGTGAAGGTAAAGCTGCGGGGCAGTATTGTGTGTGTCACGTGGTGGGCACGTTTGGAGGGAGAAAAGCAGAAGTTTGCAACATGAGATTCTCATTAAGTAGTTATGTATGTGGACAAATTCTCTCAACGCAGCTTTTATTGAACCGGCGTGGAGGACGCGTGGTTTCCATGGCGTACGAGTTACAGCACTCATTTCCAGTCTCACTGAATCCAAGGATCCTCTTCCTCTTGGTACAGGTTCAAGCATCTTTCCCAAGCCTCTCATCTTTTACTGTTTAGCATTAAAAGATATTCAGCATGTGTCGTCCCACAGAAGAGCTGTGTGTGACTTCGAAAGCCTGTTCGTTAGGTCTCGTTAATGAGCATTTATTTAGGCTGAGGACGGGGAGAGAGGGAATGAGGTTTTTGGTGAAAGAGAAGTTTCCAGAGTATTTACTTCACTGCAGTGAAGCCTCTGTCGCTTCTGTCTCTAAAATGCACCCTAACAGGGTGGCCTACATAAAAAGGACACCTGGATTTTTTCAGTCTTTGTTCGTCTTAGCTCCGTTTCCACTCCTACACAAAGATCGTCCGTGCTTTCCCTTCTCCTTTAGTGCCCCTTCTCTCCTGATTTTAAAATGTAAACTTAAGGATCAAAGAGTCTGCTCCCAGTCCAAGCACACAGGTTAGCATGCTCCTACATCGTTCTGTGAAATACCGTCTTTCTTGTTGTGTAGTCAAATTTTCTTTGTCTAAATGACAGCAAAACTTTGTTTATGGTTTTTTTTTTAACTAGCCTGATGTGACTCAGTGGAAGCAATGCAGAGGAAAGTTTGCTCACCGCCAGTTCATAGACTGCTAATTTGCTAACATGGAAAATAACTTCCAGTCCTTCTAGTTCGTTACTTTTCTTATGAATCGTAGAGTTTAGAATGAATTTGTCTCTTGAAGCGATGAAGTCTAGCTGTGTTGGTTTGCTTTTTCTGTATTGGTGGTGCCAGGCTTTTATGGTTGGTTGTTGGCAGAATGGGTTTTGAACATGACTGTTGCCTATGACAGTGGGGGACACTGTTCTTTGGTGCTTAGAACTTGACTATTAATCAGAAGTATCTCATATTGAAAGGCTCTTCCAGGAATTTTTGGCATAACTTGCACTGTTTTGTTCTGGGCTGTATGATTGTTGTCATTGTATGTGATGGTAGGAAACGAGCATTTTTTTGGTACCCTTTTGCTGGAAGTGAGTAGATATTTACGTGGTCTCCATCATTAGCAAAGATTTCAACGTCGGTAGCGTGTACAAGTATCTGCATTAAGAATAATTGATTTCTGATGTGGTTCTTTTCTTGTTTCTTTTCTCTCTTCCAATAGAAAGCCATTTCATCTCCAACCGTATCACGCCTTACGGATACATCAAAATTCACGGGTTCTCACAAGGAGAGATTTGACCCCAGTGGGAAAGGAAAAGGCAAGGCTGGCCGAGAAGATCTGGTGGATGCTTCAGGATACGTATCTGGCTATAAGCACGCGGGCACATATGATCATAAAGTGCAAGGAAGCAAGTAAGGCTGAGGGTTTACAACACAGAGGGAGAAAGAGAGGGGGGAAAAGAGAATATATTTGTAAGAATGATGTAGATGAATCCCACATGTTTTGGTTATTGTGAATGCTAAGACTATGTTGTCAAGAAGTTGTTTTCAGGAACTGGAACTGATTTCAACATCTGCTTGAGCTACTTGCAGCACAACGCCACTTCATTACATTCCTCATGCGTATATTGGCAAAAATAAATGTATCGGTACAAAAAAATTCATTATTTTGTTGAGCTTTAGACAAAAAAAAAAAAGACAAAAAACCCCACAAAGTCAAGAGCAGTTATACCACACTTTGTCAATTCAAGTAAAAGATCTCAAACATTCCTAATGTCCAGTTGTCCTGAGGATGTCGAAGAGAACCTCTTGAACCTCTTGAAAAGATATTTCTGAAGAATATCCCATTATTTATGCGGTTTCATTTGACTACTGTTTGGGGGCATTTTTTAGAACGTCTTATACGGGATTGGCACTTTCCTTTAAACATTCAACAATATACTATTGGGGAGTAAGTGGTTGTAATACACAAGGTGCTAGCCTGTAAATGTCGTACACCACTTGTAGAAAAACTGAAAAAAAAAAAAGCGCTATTTCTAGGACAGTATAGGTTCTAAAGTATTTTACGTCAACAGAAAGAGGTGGAAAATACCAGCCCTTACTTTCCTCCTGTCTGTGCTTTGTGCTTGTGGCTGTGTGTGCTCTGGCTGGGTTTGGCTGGGGCTGTTGTACTAACCTGAGAGTGAGGAACCAGGCATTACTGAGAAAGTCTGTTAAAGGTTTTTGCAGTCTGTTTTCGAGTTTGCACTGCCTCATGTTGGAAATGAAGGGGGCATTAAGCTAATAATGCTTTAAAATGTTGATTAAGACTAAACACTGCCAATCAGATTGCTATTAAGTGAATATTATTATGCATATACATTGGCACATATGCCCTTTAAGCTCTAACATACATAAAGAAAGTTTACAGCCCCTTGGAACAAAGACATTTACAATTAATAGCCATGTAATTAGGTGCAATGTGCCCACAAAAACACACTATTATGACTGGGTTACATTTTATGTTAGATTTGTTTGAAGCCAAGGGACTCGATTCTGTTCGTTTTTGCTGCCTAACTTGGGAGTAATAGTATTGATGGGAATGTTTTTCCGCTGCTAGAGCAGGAGGATCAACTCCACAGGCTTAAGGTACAGGCAGCTGAGCGTGACCTGCCTGGGGCCCAGAATGCCAAAACAGCTCCCTCGGAATAAAAATAAATCATTGGTTAAAAAGGAAAGAAAAGGCTGGTCCAATTTTCCGCAAGAGCTAAGCAAGTACCCTGATGTATTACTCTGCTTCTCTAAAATTATGGAAGATAAGATTTTCAGTATTCAAAACCAGCTGCTAGCAGTTCTGCTTTGCTTTCTTTCAAAAAGAGCTCGTGCACTGATTTTCACGTTCAACTCTTAACTAAGGGTTAATAAATTGATTGCTCTTCCCCCACCCGCATCAGCATCCCACTCAGAGTACCAACAGTCTGTATTTGGCCAACATCTGGAAACAGCACTCTGGTTTTCAGCCCTTCGGCTGTCGTGATTTGTTTTTCTGACGTCGCGTGGTGGCCCTTCTTGTGACTTTGCCTCTAGTGACCCTTCGAGCCTATACATCAGCCTGAAACCAAAATGACAAGAGCAAACAGAGGCAAGGGCTTCCTTGGTGGGCTTGGAGGTTTTGGTGGTTTGCTTGTAATTTATTTGGGGTTTTGTTTCGAAGAGGGAGGGACATTTGCCAAAAGTCAGCACGTGTTCTTGTAAAGGTTTAAATGGCTTTTCCCATGGTTGGCACTGGTTACCTGGGAAGATTTTTGATGTATATCAGGATGCTCAGGATGAGAAGCACCCAGCTTTATGAAGCCTTTCCAAGAGTTACTTGTTGTTGCTGAAGAAAAATTTCCATGGGATGGATGAAGGATTATCCACTCCTGTGTTTCACTGGTGACCTGACACACTCTGAGGCAGAAAACAGCAGACTGTGGTACCAACAACGGCTAAATGATTCCAGCACAGTAGTGAACTGCCTAAATGTAGAGAACCTTCCTCTACATCACTCGTGCGCCTGAAGAAGGCTCCAGGATAGTCCTGTCTTTCGTGAACAGGTCTCTAACCCTTGATAAATCCTTCAGCTTAGTTCCAGGCAAAACCACTGTCCCTGTTCTTACCATTGGCTTGCAGACTTGACTCATGACTCACTGGTAACTGAAAAGATCTGGACACAGCCCGAACTAAAAGGTGAAGTCCGGTCTGCTGCAGAGCCTTTCAGCACACCGTTGGCTTTGCCGTGCGTTGGTACCCACCTGCCGTGTCTGGCACATCGCCGTGCCTGGCACATCATGTCACTGTGTCTGGCACATCACATCACCGTGCCTGGCACATCAGTGATATGCCACTGGAGGTGCATGAGTGAGGGGCTCTCTCAGGTGCCCAAGTGCTGAGTGTCGGTAACGCTGGGGTGGTGCCACACAGGAGGAGTGGTGGGTTGGGAATGTTTTAAGGTAGAATTAGGTTTTTGAGTTGCTAGTTCACAGTCTGAGAGAGACCAGTGCACTGGTAAGACAGAAGGCACACAAAGGGATTGGGAATGCGGACAGTCCGAGCTGATGCCGACAAGAAGTCGAGCTGCTCTGTTTGATGAGGAGGGACCGAGGAAGGCAGCTGGGGTTCTGCCAGAGCTCGCTTTGCGTTGCCCGTACACTGTACAGTCCCTGCCCTGAACCAAAGCACTGCCCGTAGACCTGATGGGAGGTTCTTTGAAAGCCTTCTGATGGCACAGTAAGCTTTGGACCAGGATTTGAGGAGATGCTTCAGATAGCAGCGTTTTATTTTGACGAACACAGTTCCTGGTTTCTTCTTCGTTTCTACGGTCGGATAGTTTTAAAAATCAATGAAACAGATGCATGAAATGAAGTCATTCTGATATGATAGTGACAAAGGGAAGTTGTGGCTGGAAAGATAGTACTTTGGAAAGATTTTTCCCTTTTGCTACACTTGGTGTGGAAGATAAAAGCTGTGAATGAAAGCACCTGTGTACGCAGCTGTGTATTAGGGCTTCAGCCACCTACTTAAGCTCTTACTTTTCCACTAATACCTGTAGGAAATGAAAAGCCTAAATACCAGCTTGACTGTTAGCCGTAAGTTCCAGGCCTGCTTGGGAATGAGGCAAAGTACATTTTCTTGTTCATTTGCCATTCCCTCCACTCTCAGGATGGCAAGTGCAGCTGGTATGTCGGAGATGAGGGGAAGGGATAGCTCAGGAGGTGCAGGAGGTGACCCATTTTCAACCCCTGAAGTGTTGCAGAGCATATGCTCTTCCTGTGCACCATACCTCGGACTGTAACGGAATGTCATGTCTGAAGTAAGGACACGGGTACCTAATCAGGTTTACACTCATCTCCTTTTTTTCGGGGGGGCATCTCAACTCATTCCATCTGACTTTCCAGTCTGATTTTCAGCATCTTATACTATGCAGCGTTCTTCTAGGCGCCATCTTCTACAAAACCTTCTTGTTGCTGAGTATCTTTGGTTTCATTACAGCCAAACGTGCTGCCAAAAGAAATGTGATCGGAAAGTTCAGGTAGCTTCTAGCAATAACCACCTTAAAGAACAAACTCAAATTACACTGCTCGTTTAAAATGAAACCCTTCAATCCTATGGCAGTACAGAATCTTACCTGGATCTCCACTGAGGCTTACCCTGACCATCAAAGCCTTGGCAAGATCGAGGACAAGAAATAAAAATCCTCACTGAGGCAAAGGAACAGTCCTTACAAATAATTTTCTAAAAATAACCTAGTTTTTAAATAAAATAGGCAGAAGTCAAATGGGTTTTCTTATTAGTGCTTGCTGACTAATCCCCTCTGGTCAGGCTGTGTGCTTTAGTTACTTGTTGAGAGTTTTGCAACAATAGGGAAATATCAGAAACAAAAATGTTTGTCCTGCTTTTTGTGGCTATCAAAGCTCTTACTTACTGAGAAGCAGACACTAAAAAACATACATTGTTTCCCCAGTCCCATGTGAACAATTGCCATTAATTGTAATCAAATATTTGGAATCCCAAAGGAGGTGTTGAACGTTGGACAGTGGCCAAGATCTAGCCACTTTATTTTTTATTTTTTTTTAACCCACAATATTTCTTATCTCTTGTTCACTTTAGGGAAGGGAAAGGGAGATTTCAAAACTACTCACATGAAAAACACAACTCGTGTATTTTATCAGCATAGAGATTGTCCTTTGAAGATATTTTGGATTGAAGTATGATATTTTCCAGGTATTTTACTGACCTTGCCTAAATTTAAAAATCCTTCTGACAACTTTTTTGGCATTATAAAAAGCTTTGCTCATGAATTAGCGTTTCAGTCACCCGTCTTTTCCCTCTATTGGCTCAACTAATATTTTTTTTTGGTAGCTTGAATTAGCCAAAACTAAAAGGCAAATAACTGCTATGGGTTTGGCTCGCAAGTGAAAGGAATCCCAGCCATCTGTAGAGAAAATCGTCGTGTATCTTTCTCCATAACCAAAACTTTAAAGTTGTAACTGATAGTTTTTTCCTTAAGGCTTGTTGGAGTCATAAAATAAATTTTAATTCTTTGTTGCCTGCATGTATGATATTCCAAACATAACCCTGCCTTTCAGTGATGCATGTGTTCTGGGGGCATGCGCCTGTCATCCGTGAATTCCCTGTTTGCACTGGCCGAGAAACAAACCTTTTACCTTCACGCTAGAGCAAACGGGACGTGTTGCACTAGTACGTGTCCTCTGAACCGACTGTTAGCTGTGTGCGGCCAAAACTGCGCCTCTGCGTGCATCGTTTGTAGTGTGGGTGGGTTCTTGTCTATCAGTTGGTCGTAAGTGATGTGAGACACAAGACTTGTACAGGTGTGTGTGTGCGTGTGCGTACCCTTTGGATCCAGCTAAGTCACTACACCGTGTAGATGTTGCTCCAAACCTTCAGTGTTACTAGGGCCAAACTCCAGTCCTGCACCAGTGCTGCTCAGCTTGGCCAGTTGGTGACACTCATCCATAGCGCGAAGGTAAAGACCTAAAGAGGCTTTTATGTTTTCACACGTCTGCCCTGTTCCCGTTTCGGGGGAAAAAGGCTTTTCAGTGATTCTAATGTAGCCTTGGTGTGACAAGAAGAGTTCCTCCATCGTGAGGAACTAGGAGAGAGAGTCAGAGCGAAAGCAAGCTTTCCTCTGAGTGCTCT